TAGTTTGGATACACCCTCCCAGAGCATCTAGAGAGCACCACCCAAGAGTTCCTCAAGGATTATAATGATGCAAGATTAGCCTTAGCTCTGCTCTTTGTGCACCCATCATTAGTAAGTCACATCCTGCTAAATAGCAGTGCAGAGTATTTGTGCAAATGCATCAACAAAGTATTCTGGTTTTGACGCGAGACTTGTGTTTCTCAAGAGCTTGGAAATAGCATTGGGAAACAGAGACGAGGGGAAAATAGGCATGTCTGAGATGGGATGCTGCAGACACGCCTGGCAGGAGTCTCTGCCTGGCCTAAAGGGCACTTCCACCCTGCGTCAGGATCACTTTCCAATCCAAATACCTAAAAGCAGAAGCTAAACCCAACAACGAGGGAATCGCAATGGAATTTTCCTCTCCTGCCACTCTTGAATGCTTTCCATGGTCCAAGTGGAGCAGACAGCATAGATGCCAGAGGTCTTGACTCTGGGGTGTTTTCTTGTAGGAAAGTATCATGAAATGGAAGGGAGAGGTTGTAGGACATTGGGGGGGTAGAGGGGTGGGGTTTTACAAATGACTTTTCCTGTTACAGTTTCTGCTCTTAGACCTCCATTCCTCATTTTTCTTCACCTTCTCATGTCATGTTTCTGATTATTCTGGGTTGGGTTGCAGGTGTCTGTCCCAAACGGCTCTGGGCATAAGGTTGGGCTGCCAGTCCGTCACTGGGCACAGACACAATGGCTAGTTTACAAATCCCAGTCAACCCAAACACAAGCTTCTGCACTGGACCTGGTAGCCATAGTCACAGAGCAGACACACAAGCACAGAAACAACATTTGAACCCCCAGTAATGGATTTGATACATGTTGAACCATAACGCCATCTAGCGCCTTTCCCTTGCTAATAAATTTCAGGCAACTATAGCTATCTAATTCTGTGAATAAGTAAATGATATTGCAGTATATTAAAGCAACCTATATTTTTTGGATTGTCTTTTATAAGTATTAAATCCCTTTCAGGGATCGCTATAGTCTTGTCAATCAGCAATTTATGAATCATAATTAATCGAAAATTTTACTTATTTACTTTAATAGGTTGGCATCACTAGCAAAGATGTGCTATGCACTCAGATGATATCTCGGGCTTCTGGTGTTAATTTGCACTCAAAACATATTAAGATTTATCCATGCATTACGCATTTCTGTAAACATGCTGTAAGCTACAAAATTCAGTTCCAATAAAGAGTAGGACTGTATAGTAAAGGAGGCCATTCCATATGAGCAAGCCCTGGGAGGATAGCCAGTCGGCTCTCTGGCCTTCTTCAACCACCAACATCTGGGACCAAATGGTGCTTAAGGCGCTGCTGGCACTATTGGCCTGTTGGAAAAAACTAGTCAGGCCAGACTCTGACCTTCATGGCCAGAATCGTCCTCTTTGTCCACGGCCATCAAAACGTGTTAGGAATTAGCGGCAATTGGGGTGGATGGCTTCAAGTGCCATCTTTGGTCCTGCTAGGAGACCATTGCAGAAGATGTCTACACTCGTCAACTACCCCCAGACAAAGTGACAAGCTCTTTAAGGATCACAGAAGAGCATCTGAAGTCACCTGGATGGTTCCAGAACCTTTTGGTCTTACTCATTATCTTTACCGTTCAAGATACCTGCAATTAGGATATGAACTTAAATAACAGTCCTCTAAAGCAAAATTGCTTCTTTTTTTAACTAAATTGATTCGCAGTCAAGAAAAACATTTAACCATCCAACTTGAAAAAAATAAACAAACATGTTTTCCCGGTGAGTAATGAAGTGAATTTAGTCTGCCCGCATCAAGATTTTTCATCCCAGTGTAGCACAAGATGTAATTTTCTTGTACAGGAAACTAATCTGATGTCAGGATTAATCATGTAAGTACATGTCTGAGCTCATGCACTGCAGTTAGTCAGTAGTAAAGCAATTTCTCATATCATCCTATATGCTTTATTGATTTTTGGAGAAGTATTTAGTAGAAGACATGATCCACTGCAGCAAACCGAGCTCATTAATTAGATAGTGATCTCATACGATTGGCACACTGCTTACTTCCATTAGAAAATGTATCTCTTATGGTTTTCAGCCTCTTATGTCTATAGCCAGAGAGCAATATTCTTGAATTTTAGCAAATTCCCTGCCGTTTCTGCATTTCAGTTGGTAAAACACTCATGGAGGATGTTAGCAACAACCAAACAAATCGATTGCGCTGCCATTATAGAGGTTTAGTTAAATGTGTGGTATCATGTCTTATTTTATGCAGTATATTTGATCTCTCCCCTATAATGATCAAGACCCTAATGTGAATTGATGGATACCTGGACTTAGTTCCTTACAGTATGGAATGACATATTGAGGGTTATCAGTCAGCAACGTTAGGTATATTTAAAGGAAACAGACTGATGTCAAAAGATTTATATTAAAAATGCAAAAACAGTCATGCAAAATGCAGAATACCTAATCCAGTTTAAACCTTATGAAAAAAGAAAACCTTATGCCCATGGATTTTGGCTTATTCTGAGCATTTTATTTAAATGACAGTCATGCCGATAATCACAAGATATGACCTTAAAGTCTCTTGCCATCATACTTGCTACAATGAATGTCAGCAGTGAGATGTAATGAATATTGGGGGAATAATGCTACTGTATAATTCATTTTGTCCAAGGGCATATTACAAAAATAAGACTACGGTAGTTTAGAAGGAAATGTTGTTGATATGTACCATTATGAGTCCTGTTTTAAGCCATCCATCCATCCGTCTTCCATGTCCTATGCAGGGTTGCAGAGTCTATTCTGGAAGCTATGGGCTCAAGGCAGGGAATAACCCAGGATGGGTTCCAACCCTTCCCAGGGACATACATGGGGGCAATTTGGCAAATCCAATTCACCTTATCTTGTTTTTGGACTGGGTGGGGATCCCATTGTGACATGGGAAGAACTTGCAAGCATCACCCACATGGAGCCAGGGCGAAGACTCGAACCCCTGTCCCCAAGGTGCGAGGCAGCACTGCTGTCCACTGCTGTCCACTGCACCACCATGTCACCATGTCACGTCAGCTTTAAGCCATGAAAGATTATATAGCTCATTGTCAGACTGACTGGGCCTAGTCTACAACACAAATGGCAGGAAAACAGAAGCAGTTTGGACTAAAGGTTTTTTTCTGACAGACCGTACCCATCCACCTTCACCTGTCTACTTATTTCCTTATATGCTGACTTAGTTCAGGCTTCCCATGCTAATGAATGTATACAGCTCTGCTCTGACTGTTTTCATTTGAACGGAGTAACAGATTCATCCATGTGTACATTCATGTCAATGAACACCTGATTCTAAGATTACACGTACAGTGGGAGCGATGGACTAACTGATTTTTGATCCAGTTCGTCTATCTGATTTGTTTTCATGTCTTCATCATTCTACAAGCTTTTATTTGACTTTTGTGAGACCCCTGCTCTGCTCTTCTAACTCAACATTGGGTCAGTAGGATGGTTTTGTAAGAATAAGGTATGGCATTGTGAGTAACTATTGGTGCTCTTTATATTCTATCCATCCATTTTCTGAAATGGCTTGTCCTATTCAGGGTCATGGAGGGGTCCCCAAGCCTCTTTGGGAGGCTATGGTTGCAAGGCAGGGAACAGCCCAGGATGGGGCACCAACCCATCGCACAGCAACTCACACATGCACACCTACGGGCAATTTGGAAACTCAAATGAACCTCAGCAGGTTTATAGGACTGTGAGGGGAATCCAGAGCACCCAGAGGAAACCCCACAGTGACACAGGGAGAACAAGCAAACGCCACCCACATGGAGCCATGGTAGAGATTCAAACCCCAGTCCCAGAGGTGGGAGGCAACAGGGCTAACCACTGCTCCACCTGATGTATTTCTGTGTGCACTCAGGTTGTTGTGATAATTGGGCAGATGCTCTTATTTTTCGAGCTAAAGAACTTTAGTCGGGAAAACATATTAGATATCAATTGTGGATTGAAGACACAATGCACCCCATGCTGGTGAGAAATCTATCTAAGGAAATGCTGGAGGCTCCATCCTAGAGACCTAAAATAATAATAGTAATTAAGATTATGCAGTCGCAACAATAGCTTCTTGGGATACATTTGTTGTGCATCAACACCAGCCAGTCGTCTAGTTGCGTCTCTCATACACACAGCAATTATTTACTCGATTGGGATCCCATAGTGTGATTGTTTATGCTGCACCAATATGCAGCCTCTCCACAATCCAGCATCTTTTGAGAGTCTGATTCATGAGCTAATGCCTCACCAAGAAGTCATTTTACCTCAACACAGTCATTTTTTCCACCTAAGGTACATTAGTGAGATGGTCATAAACGATCACGCCTCAGTAAGATTTGTTGACGGCCTCGACTTCTTGACAAGTTCTTGAGTTTCAGAGGTACTTGGCGCTGGATTACTGGTATTCTGTTATGACCCCAAGCCCAAACTTGGGGCGATGGGCGGCTCGATGGGTCAGGAGGCTGTGATCAAAAGGTCACCAGTTTAAATCCTCCAGCTGGCAAAGTGATTTCACAGTATGGCCTTTAACCCAGAATTATTGCAGGCAATCTCTAACCCCAATTTCTCAAAAAAAAAGAAAAGTGCATTTCTTTGTATAAAAGTGCCTGCTAAATAAATTAAATTTAAAAAGGAAGCTTTAAATTACTTGCTCTCTATTGAGTTCTCGGTCCTAATGTTTTTTCTTGCAGCTGTTAATTTCAATTTAGGAAATGCAGTTTCCCCTTAAAAAGTAAGTGGAAAGCCACTTACTAATTATCATTAAATTGCCATCAGCGTAAACACTTAGGTTGAAGCTTATAATACTGCTGAACATTTTCTTTTGAAGATCTTGTGTGATTGGTCATGTGACATGAAAATATGTTTTCACCCATTTCAAGCCTTTCAACGTTGTACTTTGACAGTATATTTTTTTATTATGTTGTACTTTTTTTCTGTCTTTTGCCTCTAGGGGGCTGTTTGCAAGTCATTATACTGAAACACATTACCTAGAGGACGGAAGTGCTATCACTGGAACTCAGAACCTGACGGTAAGTGACAAAGACTTTGTTATGAAGAAGGTCAAAGCAGAAGCGACCTGCAAGATGGTAGCTTAGTAATTAATAGAAGAAAACAGCTAAAACCTAAAATGAAAATGACTCCCTTTGGCTTACCTTTTCAGCGTTACTTGAGAAAATCTGAGCATGGACTTAAGCTAAGCATATAATGTGGCCTGGTTTTCAAGGCAGGACATATTAACTGTAAATTTGAACCTCCCTCTGTATCCCTAAGATTTACATTGCAAATTATATAAATAAATTGGAACCTCAACTATGGATAAAATGTGAAATCCCAGCATAAATATGCACCACAGAATATGTAGCCGCTCCAAAAGTTTGAATTTTGTTTCACTTATTCAAGTTTTAATTCAAGGGCCAAAGAACAAAGGTATTATATTGTCAGGTCTGATGTAGTTCAATGAAAGAGCTGGTTTGCTGCTCTGGGCCTGTGAAACATTCAGCTACTGTTTTCATGATTCACAGAGCAGCCATGACACCTAACAGGAAGACATTCGGACTGTTCTGCCTTTTTAGAAACGCAATGTCCTAAAATTATCAAGAAATTCAGAAGCTGGTTTTTGAGATGTGTGGTAGGACATGCAAGCTTAGAGATACAAGATATTGTATTACATATCTTTTTGATTGAAACAAAGTTCATGTTGCTTTTTGTTTCAAATTCAATAGCCTGTAGAATTAAAGGCCATGAGAGTGTGTACTTTGTTGAAATCAAAATGACATGAACTAGAACAAATCTATTCATTTTGTACTTCATCTGATTACTTTTAAAACTTGACCATATGGAGTAGTCAGATTATTTTTTTATTTGTTTGTTTGTTTCTTTGTTTCTTTATTTTCTGATTTTATCCCTACAATTTACCACAAATTCAGGAGTCTCCAATGTAGGAATTTGATCTGTACTCCATGGTACCATTGGCCCTGCCATCTCTAACACTGCTTTTTAATCACCAATCAGAAAAGTGATGCTATCCCCACTACTGGCGATCTACAGCGTTCAGGCATCTCGCGGCAGGGGGCTTCCTCAGCATTTTCTAGCCGCTGCACACAGAGCTGACATGGAACTTATCCACTTCAGCTATGCCAAGGCTTGCGTATTAAACTCGGGTCCTGACTGGGTAGGTCTCAGCAGTTTGCACTGAATCAGCCTCCGTCGACGCAAGGCCAGCGCTTAGCGGTGGGCAGCATGAAGAAGATCGGCCACACCAAACCACAACTATACCCACTGCTATCGCAAAGGGCTGCAAAAAGTCAGTCTTCATTACTGTTGCTTAAATGTCCTGAATTTTCTGGCTTGTGAGTAAAGATAAAGAGCTACGGAAATAAGAATAAAGCTTCAGTCTTGTACCAACACTGGCAACCGGCAAATGGAGTGAGTGTCACATACAGTCAGCCGTCAATAAGTCAACCCTGGCAACCCTGTAGATACGAGACCATAGTGCCGCCCACAAAAAATGCTATAGCAGGAGAAAGAGCTACAATGTCTGCTTCTGAGTTGTGTAACTCAGCATAAAAGCCAACTTAATAATCGTCTCTTTGACTCAAGCAAGAACAATGATACCATCAAAGGTTCTGTTGTGATGTAACAGCAAAGCACTAACCTAGAAGTAATTATGGTACCGCTTCTTTAATATTTAATATAATGGGACTCACATATCAAGTGACTCAGGCGGTCATTGTTTAAGGTTTCATGCCTTTCTTCTTGCTGGTCCTTCGCTCTCATGGTCTGAATTAGACTACAAGGCTGAAACAGTCTGGTTTTAATGGCGCTTTAGGGCAGGGCAGCAGCCCAGATAATTGACATTACTGGGCCAGACACTGGTTTACTCGGCACGCATGTCAGCAGGGACTTGGACCGTCCCGTTATGGCCTGACAGATGGTGCAGGAGCCATAACACAGTAGTTGTGTTTTTACTGCGAACCAGACGCTTCCTCCTTCGACAGGCACTTTTTGTCCTCATGCCTCGTGTTCATCATCAAGCGAAGAGAGGCAGTTAGTTGAAGAAAAAAACCAGTGGCCTTCCACCAACGATCTTAACTGCAGTTTGGACAGCGGGACCCTCTTTCCCACAGCTGAAACACCCACTTGGCGTTCCAGATTCTCAGTGCGCCAGTCATTTCTCTGTATGGCAGCAATCACAGGCTAAAATAACAACAGTCGTCGTAGGGGGGGAAAGCAGAGCAGAGACTTTCTACAAGAAAAACGAGCCCTGAGAATAAATCACATTTTTCATTTTGACATCAAAGTGATGAAAAGACGGAGGAAAACTTCCTTGACTCATATAATTTTACATGACAGAGCTGGCACCTCGCATTACCATTGGCTGATAGATGCGGCTATGCTTGGAGGCAGGTATATACAGTATATGAATGATAAACTGACAGTAATGGTGTCAAGGCTGGCTAAGGTTAAAAAAAAAATACAGGTTATAGACAAAAATGGTCATATATATAAATATATGTATACACACACACACACACACACATACAAAACACTGCACATGAATCGAACAAAACATTTGTTCTTAGAATAATACTGCCCTTGTTAATCAAGACCCTGGGCAGGAGCAACAGCCCAAAACATAAGATGAAGGGCAAATCCCATTATTGCAAAATCGATTCAATATAATAACTGTCATTTCCAGGTAAACTGCTATTATCATGGCAAGGTCCAGGGATATCCTGATTCCGAGGTCAGCCTTAGTGCCTGCACTGGTTTAAGGTAAGCAATAAAGCAGTATTATAGAGCTAATATATTTTAAGAATAATCTTATTTCTTCTCTTAATTACCATCTTTTTTTCTACAACAATTGGCAAACCTTCTATTCTGTAAAATTCAGTACATTTCTTTCTCATGATTGGACAGCATTTTCTTAATGCAATATTGCTTGTTTATATACTCTCTGCATATGTTAGTGTATGAGCATTTCTGTTTCAATGAATCTGAACTACGGAAAGGCATTTGTAATGCTAAAACGTGTTCACTTAATTCAAACAAATGTAGCACTTAAAGAAAATCTGGTGACTGAGGTATAAACTCAGCTGAGAAATATTGTTGGACAGCAGTACGGATTTCGTTGCATGCAGTTAACCTAAGTCTAATGACCACCCTGACTAAAATCTGTCTACTAGTATCATTTTTTTGAGTTGAAACCTTGCCAGTACAATATTCACTGGTTCCCCAAAAGGTACATAAAAAATATAAGTGAAAAATTGCCTCAAGCATTTTATTTTTCAATGTATTGGTAACCACCAAAGTAACGGAAATATCACATAAAGTGTCTTAATAGAGAATTTAATATACTGCTAGTCACCGGAATACCTTCTAAACAGCCTTGGCATAGATTTTTATAAGTCCCTGGGATTCTGTCAGAGGAAGTAACAGCATTCATTCATAGAGCAATGTGACACCATTCATTCATAGAGCAATGTAACACCATTCATTCATAGAGCAATGTAACACCATTCATTCATAGAGCAATGTAACATCATTCATTCATAGACCAATGTGACACAATTCATTCATAGAGTAATGTAACACCATTCATTCATAGAGCAACATGACACCATTCGTTCATAGAATAACTTAACACCATTCATTCATAGAGTAATGTAACACCCTTCATTCATAGAGTAATGTAACAGCATTCATTAATAGAGTAATGTAACACCATTCATTCATAGAGCAACATGACACCATTCATTCATAGAATAACGTAACACTGTTCATTCATAGAGTAATGCGACACCATTCATTCATAGAGCACTATTCATTCATTGATTTTCAGACAACCTGAAATCTGCTTGGATAGAGTGGTCCTTGTAGTCATAATTGCAAATAATTGCACTTGGTATATTAATAAAAGATTATGATGAAAAAATGCTTCAAATCTGAAATCTTGTCCAGCTGCATTGATCAAAACCCAAATTTTGAAAGAAATCCAAGCAAGCCATCGCAAATACACTTGTCTAACATTACTGTTACTGAATCTTACTCTAATATTTCTTCTGGCTAAGATGAACGTCAGTTACTTGAGTCTCAGGTAGTTTTTGCAATGTGAAATAATAACTTGTTTTGAATTGTTTTTATGCTTTCACTTCAAAAGTAGGACACTTGCATACGTTATTGTATTGTCTGACAGGATGCGATACACACCTCTAATCAAAGTTACTAATCACTACTCCTCTGTAGGAGAACTTCCTTTCGATTTTTTTTTGTATCCCAAATTTACTCTTGTCTCCTTTATTTTCCATACTACTGGAACTCCATGAATGTAAGGAATGAGAACCATTAAACCCTAATGTGACAAATCCTACTACATATAAGCCTATAAATATTTTTTACTTCATCTAAGCTTCTATCCATTTGTCATCACAGAATTGGGTTCCTGTGTCATTTTGCTGGCTATGCTAATTTGTGAAATCTTTCCTACCGCAGAGGATTTGTGTCATTCAAAAGCAAAACCTTCATCCTGGAGCCCGCGTTCGACCCAGACAACGCAACGCACCTGATTTATCGGGGGGAAGAGGTTTACATTCCTGCTGGCACTTGTGGTCATGGATTCAATATATCAGCTTTTGTCCCAGACAAGAAAGGAGGCTCTTCTGCCAGGGTAAGGTTACAACAGAACTTCCACGTGTACTAAAAAGACACCTTTTTCTGAAAAAGGCAATTGCTGAAAGTGTAAAATTGAATTTCTGTATGTGCCATCCATGTTTGTGGTGGTCCATAGCAAAAAACCATAGCACCCGGTATATAATTCAGCACATAAAACTTTACTAGACAGTAATCTGCAAGCCAGACTAACTGAAACAAGAAGGGTATTATTTCCCAAATCACAATGTATTTTATAACACTCGAGGTGACACTGCTTTTCATTTATGTGTTTTTTAGGGACAGAAAAAACATGGTTCTCTTACGATGGCTATGAATCACAGACATCCAGACAAGCCTCCCTCACATCAGCAAACTCGCAATTGTCAGGATTTACGATACTCACCCAAATGTTTTCTCCATTTAAGTTCAGGATTTATTCTTCAAACTGTTTATGCTCATTGTCTTCATAGGCGTTTATCTGATGACTTTGCATGCCACTCAATAAAGACGCCGTGCATCCCTTATCTGTCAGGCAAATGCCAGGTTCAGAGGGGAATATTTTGAAAGTCCATACAGAGAAGATTTAACATGCTTATTGTCATTGTTCCTTTATACACTTTAATGTATCCAGGCATTAATATTTACTGGAAATTACAAACAGTATTTCTAAACACTTGGGGAATGTAATTTCCAACCCAGGGAATAAACAAAAGGAGCTGCTTCCATAAAATGATGGTAATTGAAAAACAAACAAGTAGGCGGTAATATCCGGCTTATAAATAGAATGTGACTTTTTATTGCTATTTCATGCTAAAGTTAAGCCAATCGACACCAGGTTCAATGTTTTCTCTAATGTGAGCATAAAATCTGACAAATATGAGCCCTGATTTGTAAACTATAAGTAATACAGGAAGTGGTGATGCACCAATCAACAACAATGAGTTGTACCATTTTTTCAGTCAGGTCTAGAGCAGCCTATGGATGTACATCACATTTTATTTATGAGACATTTTTATCCAGTGTGATGTACATTTATGAGAAAGCAGGCTTGA